CTGCCCTCTTCACCACTCAGACAGTTAGACTCTACAGGTGACTATCAAGCCATCGCCAGACTATCCTGGTTTTGCATTTTCTCTGCACACCAGGTCAATGGTGTGGGCCTCCAATATCTAATATGTGCGATGAGTCTACTGTTTATTTGGGGTTGCATCGGGCCAACTTCGAACAGAGGCCTCCCCATCACTGGCATGGCACCCCTAGGTTTGGAGATGGCTACATCGTCACAATGAAAATCAAATCCCCGAAGGATGACCTGCTTCCAGACCTGAACCCGGTGGAGCAGTTCTTCCAGGGGAACTTCCCGGGCAGCGTGCCGAGGGAGAGGCACCACAACATGCTGCAGTTCCAGGTCTCCGCCTCCTCCCTGGCCAGGGTCTTCCATCTGCTCGTCTCCCACAAGGACAGCCTGCTCATCGAGGAGTGCTCAGTCACACAGACCACACTGGACCAGGTGAGTGGCTGGTGTCCTGTGCAGAGCAGGGCCGCTGGAACCCACACGAAGGAGGCGGGTCAGGCCCAAGGTTGCACCTCTGTATCCATTAGGGTAAAACCTGAGGTGGCAGAACTGTTTCCCCACCATGTTTCAGTCATCAGCCAGCCTCTCTGACCTGACATCGTCCCTCCCTCTGCAAGGACTGTCACATGCCATTTCACACTTCCTAGGTTGTGAGGTGACTTTTTTCTTTTTACATCAACTTTACTGATGCTTCATGAGCACATGATGAAATGCACCCACACATGATGAAATGCACCCACTTAAAGTGTATAACTCTGTGAGTTTTAATAAGCTTAGGTGCAATGTGTAGATGTTTTTTAATGTGATCACTTTTCATTGTGATAAAAATATACCTAATCTAGTTAGCCATTTTTTTAAGATTTTTTTTTATACAAGAACTGGGGTACAGGCCAGAGGTGGGGGGAGGGGTTTAAATGATCCATCAGAGACAGAGTGGGGAATAGAATAGGCAGATCCACTGAAATGCACTGCTGAGGGGAGCAGCAAATGGGTCAGAAGAGGTCTGCCGTGCCATGTGGGTCAGCTCCCTTTATGTCTAATTTCACATAATGTCCTCAAAGTTCATTCATGTTGCCCATATCAGAATACCTCTCCTTTACAAGGCTGAGTAATATTCCACTGGTATATGTGTGTGTGTGCACATACACATACACATACCACATTTTGTTTATCCCTTTGCATGAATCTTTAAGCTGTTTCTGAAGTATTTCCCCTTGTTTTGTTTTTTTAAATAGACATTCTTTTTTTTTTTTTAAGCAGATTTATTTATTTATGCTTACAGAACTGGGGTACAGGCCAGAGGTGGTAGGTGAGAGGATTTACCACAAACACAGTAGGGAGCAGAACAGCCAGTTGACAAAGTACACTGCTGAGAGGAGCAGTGGGCAGGTCAGGTGAGGTCTGCCACACCATGTGAGTCAGCTCTCTGGCTGGGAATCGAACTCATGCTGCAGTGGCTCTGGAGAACTTCATAATGCAGTGCTTTAACCTGTTGCACCACCAGGGAGAGCCCTAAATAGACATTCTTAAGTACTATTCACTAAAGCAGTACACGAGTGTTCTTTCACCCTTTGAGAAACTAGCTCACCAGCACCTTCTTGCTGGCTGTGTACAGTGAGGCAGGAGAAGGTGTAACATCCACGCTGCATGCTGAGTAAGAGCAGAACACAGAAGAGAGATGGCTCCTTCCTTTTTTTTTTGTATTTTTAAGGTTATTCTTAGAAGTTTAGAAGGATGGTCCTCCCTGGTGGCACAACTGGTTAGGACACAGCACTGCAAGTTGGCTGCAGCCGCTTCAGTGCAAGTTCAATCCCCACCCCAGAGGCGACCCACATAGCACAGCAGACCTCTCCTGACCCTCCTGCTGCTCCCCTCAGCAGTGTACTTCATCTATCTACTTGTTCTGCTCCCTGCTCTCTCTGGTGAATCCTCTCACCACACATATGGCTCTGGCCTGTACCCCAGTTCTGTATGCATAAATAAATGTTTTTTAAAAGTTTAGAAGGACACTGCTAGGTGGGACTCTGCCTTGCCTTGTTTAACCCAGATTCCAGTAGCCCGAGCCCTTTGGGTCCTCCCACGGACCCCACTGACTCATCTAAGAACTCCAGAGACAAGTCCAGGGCAGGGGGGCCAGGCTTCCTCAGGTGACCAGCCCCTGGCAGGACACAGAACTCTGCAGCTGGGCCGCATGTTCACCGGGGCAAAATCAAGAGGGTGGGTAGTGGGAGGGTGCTGTTTTTCTGGAAACACCTACTTAATGTTGCTCCTCTCTTGCCTCCAGGTTTTTGTGAACTTTGCTAAACAGCAGGCTGAGATTCATGACCGCCCTTTGCACCCCCGAGCTGCGGGAGCCAGCCGACAGGCCCAGGTACCTGCTGCTCCTGCAGCGCCCACTGCCTGAGGCAGGCCCCTCAGGGTCATCACTGGGCCTGATGTGACTCCCCCAGAGAACCCCACTGGTTCCAGCTCTCCATCCTGGTCCCCCCTACACTTCGCCCGTCCTTTCCATGTCTCCCCCACCCCACATGTCTGCTACTCCCCTCCAGTTCTTCACAGTGTGGTTCAGTGGATTCTTCTTATAATCCAGAAGCCAGTGGATGGTATGAGTGTTTTGAAAAGAACTTTCTCATATGTTTTTACTGACAGCAATAAAAACTTGGATTTTAGAAATGAGAAGGGGAGATGAGAGAATATTACCATGTTATGTGAAGGAAGGGAATTAACTGGGACACCATTTTGATAGTGTGCACATTTGGTCAGGTGAAGGGTTATTGTCTGTTTTAGGAGAAGAGCTCTTTGTTCTCTATTAAAATACCAAGATATGGGCCCTCCCTGGTGGTGCAGCGGGTTAAAGCACAGCACGGAGAAGCTCAAGTCACTTCAACATGAGTTCGATCCCCGCCCTGGAGGTGATCCACAAGGTGCTGCAGACCTCTCCTGACCTGTCCACTGCTCCCCTCAGCAGTGTACTTCATTGATCTGCCTGTTCTGCCCCCAACTCTGTCTCTGGTGAATCCTCTCACTGGCCCTGCACCTTTGGCCTTTACCCCGGGTCTGTATGCATAAATAAATAAATCTTTAAAAAAAAGTACCAAGATATGGAAGAAGCAATAGATTGTAAATATCCTAGCCTGTGCTAACTTTTTTATTTTTCTGCTTAGAACTGGGGTTTAGGCCAGAGATTGCAGGGGGTTGAGAGGATTCACTAGAGACAGAGTGGGGAGCAGATCTGCTGGAATGCACTGCTGAGAGGACCAGCAGGTGGGTCAGGAGAGGTCTGCTGTGCCATGTGGGTCAGCTCCCTGGACAGGAATCAAACTCAAGCCCTGGAGGTGATAGTGCTGAGACTTAATCCTTAGTCCACAGGGAGGCCCTTTGGTAACTCTTGAGATCGGTGTCCACGATCCTAGCCTGGCACAGTGCTTTGCGTAAGGACATGACCTGTTCAGTGATCTCGGCAGGGAGGCAGGGGTCGGGGAGGGCTGCTGAGAACTGTACGGCACATCCTTGAATAACAGCACATTCCATGCTGTTTGACATTGATGAGGAAGAGCCAATGCTGACATTAAAAATGACAATGTCAAACAAGGACCAGCTTCCTCATGCTTTAACTGTGTATCTGCTCACTTAGAGACGCGGCTTCCTACCATCTGCCCATGACATTAGTGAGAACTCGTTGTACTGGAGCAAGTGCCAGGAGCCAGGTGCCTTGACTTCAACCTGGGATTTTTTTTTAAAGATTTATTTATGCATACAGAACTGGGGTACAGGCCAGAGGTACAGGGGTGGTGAGAGGATTCACCAGAGACAGAGTGGGGAGAAGAACAGGCAGGCTGATGAAGTTCACTGCTGAGAGATGCAGCGTGTGGGTAAGGAGAGGTCTGCTGTGCCATGTGGTCACCTCCCAGGTGGGGATCGAACTCATGCTGAAGTGGCTTTAGTTCCTTAATGCTGTGCTTTAACTAACCCGCTGCGCTACCAGGGAGGGCCCTCAACCTGGGATTTTAAAGAGATGAAGTTATTCAGCCACTCTCTCCTGACTAACCTGGAGAATGAATCAAACAAAATCATAACACTTTTCCAATAAGTAAATCTGTCCAAAAGTTTTTCACCATAACATTCTCATTCCTCCCACTGCTTTCACGATGGCAAGAAAAATCAAATACCTCTAATGATTGAAATACTCCTTTCCAAAGCTGTGCCTGTAGTGAATTTTTTCCTCTTGACTACTTGGCAAGCTTGAATTTGCCCTCACACTCACCTAGAGGATTCCAAAATGCTCATGTAAACGTCCCCGCCCAGGAAAGGTAGGTTGTTGAGATTTTTCCAGGCACTGTTCCGAATTATAGATCTAACAGTTGCTGATTACACCAGAAGAAAATTATTCTTAGAAAACATATTTGGAGGCCCTCCCTGGTGGCGCAACAGGTTAAAGCGCAGCAGGATAAAGCTATCCATTGCCACTGCACGTGGCAGGCCTCTCCTGACCCGCCCGCTGCTGCCATGTATTTCAATCCATCTGCCCGTTCTGCTTCCCACTCTGTCTTTTGGTGAGTCCTCTCACCTTCTGCATCTCTGGCCTATACCCCAGCTCTGTATGCATAAAAAAATAAAATTAAAATAAATCTTTAAAAAACAAAACACTTGGGTGGCAAAAAATGTTTCCTGGAACTACCAAGTGTTTTTGTACACCACTGGTATGTTCCTTTAAGGGTTACTGCAAGTCACCTCTGAACCAGACACGGTCTGATCTATGATCTACAGCAGCTAATCCCAAACTTTCTGACCTTGAATAAGACCATTTTTCA